CGACACAGTTTACTAAAACGTCACATTTGAAAATGTTTGCCTTTTACCTGCTTTCACAGGCATAAATTTAACATTTCCTTTTTGGCAAAGGTTACGTCTCGCCTCCTTTGACAGCCGAGGGAAGCTGGTCTGCAGTCGCTCCACGGGTTACCAGCTCCTCACCCTGGAGAAGGACCAGGTCAGTGAGCTCTGCCAGGCTGTAAACGTTACCGGCTCAAACTGCAAAAACGCCTTTAATAATCGTCCTTTCCACTGGATCCCCGCAGGAGTACGTGGTGATGAACCTGGACAGCCGGCTGCTGTCGTTCCCCCTGTACGTGTGCTGTAACTTCCTGTATACCTCGCCTCATTCAGACCACCGTCCAGATTCCTCGGAGCCAGAAAGCGCCGCTCGCGCTGCGTCTTGATGGCTTCTGACAGTCACTAGCTGCTACCATTCCTGTTGACATGAAGACATTCACCCAAAGACTAACCGAACTCCTCTTCAGCACACTGACTGCATGCTTGTGGTGGAGTTTGGGGGTATTTTCACATCCATATGGGCAGTTTTTGGTACATTTTGACACCGAGCTGTTCTCAGTGAGGCCCACCATCTTCTCTTGCCATGCATTTATCCACAAATGATCCACTTTTTAAAGTGGAAGGGAGTAGGTGAAATCTGCTTTTCAGGTTGGGTTTAGGAACTTCATAGCTTCAAGATGGGATGATAAGCTGGAGGAGGTTTTTTTTATTTTTATTTCTGCTTATTAACTTTTTTTTTATTTAAAAGTTTATATTAGAGCGCTGTCGAATAAAAAATGTGAGCTTAACACCACAGGTTTAAATGGATTCATCATATATCAGACCAACTCACTCTCATCAAAGAAACGGTTCAAATTTACTAATGTTTGGTTTATCAAAATATACATAAATATGTGTAAATTTGAAAAATAATCAAATCTGCCTCATGTGGACTTGTACATATGAAAATAATAAGGGAAAAAAAAAGATTGGCATGCTGTAGAAGGAAAATGTCTCTAGTTTAACATGTTTTTACACTCGTGGTTGCGTGTTTGTTCAATTTTACAACAGAGCAGCTTCTCAGAACCTGTTTTTTAATCTTCACCTCGCATTGAGTGAAGCAGCATCGTAAAGTCAAGCCAGACTCTTCTGTCTGCTGGGTTGTTCAGATATATTTCCACAGGTTTCCTGCAGTGTTATTTTCCATCACTGACGTTCAGTTGGGCTCCTGGTCATTATTTATGGGGGAAGATGTTTGAATTACTTGAGTTACATCTTTATTCTGAACTCATAAGAAACACAAAGTAGCCTAATAGTTACCAAAATCTGCACAGTTACCTCTTAACTTTGCTTTCATTCTGCGGATTTATTCACTGTCTCTTTGGATGTGTTTTGAAAAGCTGGGAGATTCCCAGTTGTAAATCAGATGTATTTTTACCATTCATGGATCTCCAATGAATTTGTTTGTACAGCCGTTATTATGTGTAAATTTTGACTTTTTTTATTTGGGTTTTTATTTTATTTTTTTTACCTTTTTATTTTTGTGGATGTTTTATGTTTGCAAAAAGATACATTTCTCTTGACTGCCAATAAAACTGCCCTTCCATACGGGCCGTGGTGCTATCATACAATCCGATCTTTTATTACAGTCTTATTACAGGTAGACAAACGTGTTTACGAGCATAAAAGTTAAGAAATAAAAAAAATATGGGGTGATTTGTCTTGTACTTATTGTATTGAGTAAAAGTTTGGACTTCCTGTTCTTTCTCTGTTCATTTTAGAAATGTCAAAATTGTTTATCAGGTTGTGTTTGAATCATTGAAATATTCAAAGCAACAGTCATCCCGATAAAACAAATTAAAAGCAAACTGCATTGAAAGAAAATTAAATGTCACTTATTTTCTGTCTTTTTTTTCCCCAAGTAGCTGCTCTTTATATTTTTATCAATTATGTTATATGAAGTGGCGAAAAAAGCATTCTCTCCCAAAGAAAGGAAATTTTGTGAGCTCTAACAATTTTAATCAGTTTGTGAGCCAATATGAAGTTTAAAAATCTGAAATGTTGAATGTTACTATAAAAGCACTGAAATCAACTTCCTTAAACAGTTCAAGTTAAGTCTTAACTCTAATCTGAGTGAGTGCTGAGAAACACTCACTGCATCCAAATAAGAAAATATCTGGATACATATTTTTTGTAATTT